TTTAAACTGGGTGTTCGGATTTATATGTCACTTAGTATATATAGAAAGTCAAGTTAAGGAGGTTGACAGTTATACATCACCCCACATCCTTATTATGTCTTCATCATTTGGAGACCACCAATCATCCACAATGCTTGTCAGAAAGGGGTACCTCAGGGATCTGTCCTCGGGCCCGTATTATTTTAATTTATATTAACGCTTTTCCAAATTGTAATCAAACAAAAAACTTAATATAGTTTGCTGATGACACAACGATGATAAATACACACATAGACTAGTCTAATTCACTTATAACAGAAAGTCATCAATACAGGGCGGCCAATCCATGTGTGGACGGAATATTACTCATAAACAAATACATTTTGGGAAAATCTATTTATGGCATGTTATACGTGACATTTGAGGGCACGTTTCTAAAATATTGAAAAAGATGCAGTATTTTGACCTACATATCAAAGTTGTGATTTTTTTGTGTGCAGCCCTGGTCCTATAAGGCGATTGGCCGCACCCTGTCGGGCAAGCTCAACCACCTCTTCATTTTCTTTGTGCTCTCGATGTCCTGGTATCCAGCGCAACGTTACCTTGTTTCGATTTCCCAGCACCGATCCGTTAAATTCCAATCAACGTAAAATCTAAATTAATCAATGAAACGGACGGTACATCAATCATAATCCTTCGCTCAATAAATTTCATTTGCAATTCTGATACGGACGGTGTAATGAGAACAAGGATTTGCGTACTCAAATGAATCGTTCGACTGTGTAGACGCGGATTTTCTGATTTAGAGCTAATAGAGGCACGACGTCAATAATTCTTCATTTGCCTTGATTCGATTTTCATTGCGTTTGAATCTACATCGCACATTGATGATCTCTAAAACAACAAAATGCGTCTCTTATACAGTCGCTTCTGCTACAGAAGCGTCTGCGTGCTTGTATCTTTACAGAGATGTAACTTTAATTACACCGTTTGATAGGCTGGTGTTACTGGGAATTCAACAGTGGCGCAGCTTGAGGAGCAGTGATGTGCTTTCTATTTCATTCCATCTGTGACTTTTAACAGAAAAGTGACAAGTAACCCAACAAAACTTTTTTATCTTCAAAATATATTTTGTTTTGGGCTGGTTAGCTCGGTATTTCTCATGAACGCATCATCCCTATTAGCCTCTAGACGTCTAAATGTTGCGCCAGTGTCTCGTCTTCAACCCATCACCGCCTTTTAGAACAAAACGTCGACCCCACGCGACAAAAAAGAACGGCCCCATCTCAATTCAGGATTAAGCCAGACTCTTATCGACACTTCTTATCCCACTTGCTCACTTCCCAGCGGCTTTCGTCACGGAATTTTCCCACCGCACCGGCCGAATTAAGTGGATGAACTTTAACACCACTTGGAATCATAGGAGGCTGCTGTCAACGTCGGATCTGGGCCAAGGAATACGGGATGATGGGGTTAAAAGTCGCATTCTATCTGGCGAGGTAGCATGCAATTTGTTTTTTCTGACATTCCTTGATGGAATTGGGAGCCGAGATGATCTCGGAACGATCTGTGTTGGAAGGGAAGGTCGGATTCGACAGCAGAATGAGGATAAAATAAGGAGACCGTATTCATAAAAGAGAAGCATATCCTCGGAAGCATAAGGTTAAATCACAGCCGACGTCAACTACGAGCCGTGAACAAAGAAATCTGGCAACGTAGGTGGTAGTGTTACTCCCGCCGCTGCTTGCTGCATCGACGCAACTCGTGCTCAAAACGCTGAGAAAACATAACCTTTTCAATTTGTGATTTTGGAATCCCAGAGGCTGTAATTAAGAGATAAGCTTGTTTTATAAGTTTCAAAGTGTGTGTATGTGTTCAAAGTGATCGGTGACTATAATATATGAGAAATAGACTCCAGTTGTAGTGCTTCTGTGCTTTAAAAATAAACTAAGAAGTGTGACTGTGGCTGTTCGCGCCTCAGGACGCTAAGGATTTTAACTATTGAAAACGTGCAAATTCAGGTTGTATTTTTCTTTTTTCATTTATCAAGTATTTGACGCAGACAATATGCCTTGTTGCTGTGTTCCTTTATGCAATGCAAACTATAATTCTGCTTTGAAAACAGAAAGCTATGTTTCAACTTTTCGATTCCCAAGTACCGAAAGTCTGAAAAACAAATGGCTTATGGCAATTCCCAGAAAAAATTGGACACCTTCAAAATATTCAGCTGTGTGCAGTCGTCATTTTAGAGAATCGGATATCATCAGGACAGAAAATATAGTTTCGGCGGATGGAACAGTCCAAAATAATATACCTTTGAAATATCCAAAATTGAAAGAAAATGCTGTTCCCTCCAATGTCCCAAACTTGCCATCATATCTTTCAAAAACTGAAGCACCCAAAAGAACTGACCCAATGCAAAGAAAACAAAAATTAATTGAGAAACATGAGAAAGCTATCCAGAATTTCGATGATATGGATAAGATCAAAGATAAATTTAGTTCAAAAATGTGGATTTGAAGTTATTTGTGTTGTTACTGATAATCACCGACTTAATAGAGCAATATTCAGGAAATTAGCAAAGGATTCATCAGAAAATTATTCTATTCCAAATCCACATAATCCTGATAAGAACATATATTTAACTTATGATGTTGTGCATATTTTCAAGAGTATCAGAAATAATTGGATTAATTTAAAAAACCTAGACAAAACTTTTGTATATCCTAATTTTGACAATAATGATATTATTCAGTATGCTAAATTTGAAAACATTCGTGCTGTATATCAATTGGAAAAAGAAGCTGTAGTTAAGAAAGCATATAAATTAAATTATAAAACATTGCATCCAAATTCATTTGAAAGGCAAAATGTAAATTTTGTAGATAATTTATTCCATCACTCAACAATAGCTGCTATGAAAGAATTAAAGTTTAATGATGCTGCACACTTTTTGGAAATAATCACGAATTGGTGGGATATTGTCAGTAATACAAGTGTAATAAAAGGAGAATTGAAGCGAAACGAATTTTGTAAGCCTATTACCAATAAATATGATTATAGAGTACAATTTTTAAAAAAATTCCTGATATGGTTAGAAAAATGGCATAATCTAGAGAATAATAATGGACACCTGACACCAGAAACGTATACAGCTCTATATCAAAGAACGCTGACTACTTAATATAATTGAATATTCATTTAATCAATTTGACATTGAGTATGTATTGCCTGGAAAATTCACCACTGATAATTTAGAAAAACGATTTGGCAATTATAGACTTTTATGTGGTTGCAATTACAATGTGTCATATGATGAAATTTTAAATGCTGAAAAGAAAATACGGCTGAAGCATATTTTCAATAAAAAGAAATCGTCATTTTCTTTAGCAGAAATTAAAACAAGGTTCCAAAACTGCTTAGAAACTCAAGAAAATTTTGATTTCTTGGATACCAAACAAAATCCTGAAGTAAAATATCTGAATACCGTCCTGTAGCCGCGACCCGCGACATCACCGAGTTGTACAAGGTCACTGGCTCAACCCGACGACAGAACTGGGTCAGGGGCAGTGTGTCAGGTCAGTATGCAACCTTCAACCGACGGTTACGGTCACGCGTGTAGAGGTAATCGCGTAGACGAGAATCCCTCAAGAAGCACTAGAGACGTGGCTAGAGAAGTGCAAGTATCAAAAACTAAAGTGTGGCAAACGCTGCGTGAAGAGGAGCTGTATCCGTTTCACGTCCAACGTGTACAAGCCCTTCAACTTGACGATTTTCCAGCAAGAGTGCGGTTTTGTGAGTGGTTGTTGCATCAACATGACAATAATCCGGACTTTTTGAAGTGCATATTGGTGACAGACGAATCTACGTTCACGCGTAATGGGGTGAATAACTTTCGCAACACTCATGTTTGATCAGTAGAAAATCCGCACGCTGTCCGTCGGGCACATTTTCAACAAACATTTTCGGTGAATGTTTGGGCTGGCATGGTGAACGGTATGCTCATTGGACCATTTATTCTCCCAAATCGATTGGATGCAATACCTAGCTTTTTACGCAACATTTTGCCTTCCTTGTTAGAAGATGTGCCATTAAGTGTAAGACAATCAATGTGGTTTCTGCGTCTGCTCGGTAGCGCAACAGCTGATTTCATTTTCTGTTGGAGCGGTATGATTTCGGGCAGAGACGTACTTAGCCCTTCTCGTCAACTGGAGAGTGAGTACTTTTTCCTTTATTTTTTTTACTTGGTCGCCCTCGTTTCGCTACACATTACCTTTGTTATTTCAAGGTTAGTTGTTTCTGAAAAGGAAAACCCCAAATTTGCGGACACCCTGTATATCCAGCGCAATGAGCAAACAATTCAGAAGACATTGCCACCAAAAAGAAAATTAGCAAC